ATGTAATACAAAAATTAAATACTTTTGTATTAATAAAAGCATTAAAACTTCATTCCTTTTCATTAAATATCTTTAGTAAAGGATAAGGGTAGAAATTCTATTTTGGGACTTCAAGGCTAAAAACATGCCAATGAATAATAATTAGATTAATACTTCAAAAGAGAAGTTATTTTAAGATCTTTCACTTCCATATAAGGAAAGATTAAACGATTTGCTTTGAGTAATAAATAAATTTGATGAGGCGTAAGAATACAGAAAAAAGCATATGGCTGGACTTTTTACTCTTTTTAATCATCCTATAAAATGCAGAGCGCAAGATTTTGCGTGGCTTTTTGTTGTTTATCTTGCTAAAATAAAATCCGTCAGCTTAGACGGGATATCTGTTCCCCCTCTCCCGCTTTGGAGAGGGGTTAAACTGCTATTTCGCCATCGCAACTTAATAAAAGAAGATTATGCACAACTGGACTCTTCAATCATGTTGCTCTCAATACTAATTTACTAAAAAATCATTAGATATATATATATATAAAATCAAAGAATGAAACTAATTTACAAATTCGGAAAAAGACAAAAAAAGTAAGTAACATTTAAAACAATAAATCAAAATGGAAAAACGCTTAAAGCAGCTGAGTCCAAATTTGTTTTATTTTAATTATAAAGTCAGAAAAACAATTTTAGCAGAAAACAACAAAAATTATAAAAATTTAAGACATCTGTCTTAAATTTTTATAATTTTTGTTTTCTGCTAAAATTGTTTTTCTGACTTTATATATATATACATACACACTATTGAAACAATACTATAAATTTGCAAATATTGAAAAAAAATAGTTATAAAAATCAAACACAGAATACAAAAGTCAGATTGTTCAATTGCGATAATTTTTCAGATTTGTAGAAATTTGAAAGGTGTTAGGATATCAAATATTAAACTATGCCTTTTTTCCTAATTTAATTTCTTTACAATTAATAGTTTTTACAACTACTACTTTAATTTTCATTGAGCAAAGTTATTATTGTCTTATTGTGAAACTAAATGATAAGTAAAAAGTAATGATGCTTAGTATTATTTAATTTTCATAACGTCTTCAGCTTCCATCAATCCAACTGTTATCATTTTTATTATAGTCAAGGCTCGAAATAACCCCAGTCATGAGGTTGGTTTAGTGCAGATTTTCTAGTGGACATTAAAATAACATCTGGTAAAATAACTATGATGTAGATAACTGGACTTGACCAGAAGTATTGGTCTTTATAGTGAAGGTGTCACACTAAGAAGCTAAAACTGTATTTTGTTATTTTGTAGATACTGTTATCATAGTGTATTGTAGAAAAAATATACACATGTTTTCTATAGGAGAATAATGTTTGTTTTCTTACGTTGATATTTGGTTTCCCTTAATAGTCTAGTGCTATCTTTTTATTTTTTTTTTTAAAAATAAAAATGACTATGAATACCCAAAATTATTTATCTACATTCAGGAATAGAATACTAAATAGAGTGTTTAACAAAAATTAACATATCAAACATCCAAATCAAGAATGCTAAAACACTGATTTCTGTTCAAATAATTTATCTCTCTCTCTCTCTTTTTTATTTTTTCTAAAAAGCAATTTGAAATTATTTGATTATGTGGTTGAAATCAGAAAAAAAATAAGTGGATATGAATCATAGTAAATTCAAGTTATATCTTCTTTTACAGATTTGTTTTCAAATTGATTATTGAACAAGATAAGTTTCAAAATATTTCCTCCTGAAATCAAAAATAATTAGTTAGCAGTGGCTTTTGATTTGTTCATTGGTTTTACTAATTTATAAATTTGGTACTTTTAACTAATTATTAAATTGGTTAATCTAAAACAATATGACAATTGTTTTTGATACATATCTAATAGCCAGGTGTAGGATAAATTTTGCTGATATTTCTTACTGTGCAAAGGGAATAAACAATTTTTGCAACTGAATACCTTATTAATCTCTTACAGAATACTGCAAGCTGGCTAAATAATTTATCCATTAGGAAATTTTTTTTATGTCTCCGGATCTTGACATGCCTATAATCAAATTATTGAAGTATTTGTAGCTAATAATGTAAAATCAAGATTTTCTCCTAAACCTCCACCAAATAGATGGAACATAAAAAGTGACTGAAAAGTTTTTGTTCATTTACCTTCTTACATAATTTTGCCATTGATCTGATTTTCCTTTTCATAATAGAAAAGGCTTGAGAAACTTTTCATTTAGTAAAATATTTTTTTGAATTGTTAATACTGCTTGATTTATATTATTTTTAATACAAAAATATAAAAGGTAGGACAGCACATTTGCTACCGTTGAGAACATTTAATTTGCAAAATAGATCTTAAATTGTTATTTGTTGTTAATATTGTTTGATTTGTGTTATTTTTTAATAAAAAAGTATATAACGGGAGAGAGTAAGCTCATTTGCTACCCTTCAGAGCATTTGATTTGAAAAATAGATCTTAAATAGTTATCTATTGTTAATATTGTTTGATTTGTAATATTTTTAATAAAAAAATGTAAAAGGTTAGTGAGTAAGCACATTTGTTACCCTATAGAACATTTGATTTGCAAAATAGATCTTAAATAGTTATTTATCGTTATTATAATATATGTAGTTTAAATGTCTCTGTTAAAATAAAATTTATATTATATTTTTGAGGCTTGAAAATTTCAATATCCAATGGTTTTAAGAGGAAGTCATTGTTTTTTCAGGTGGACAAGTTTAATCCTTTATGCCAAGAAACCCTTTCTGTATCATCAAGGTCATCCTCTACCTCCGATTATAATGTTAATCCTGCTAATGAAAGTAAAATCGTAGAAGAACCAGATTCTTCAAAGACAGATGTTGCACCAAGCACTGTGCTGTCATCAGAAAATTTTGTTGTGCCTCAAATACCTAGTTCTAAAAAGCCATCTCCACCATTTAATAGGAAACTGACCACTCGCAATGCTGCAATTATTTCCTCTGCATTAAGTGAAACAAAAGTGGAAGACAGATATGCGGTCTTTCAAGACATAGATGCTATACCAAGTATTTTTGATAATCCTACCATCGTATTATCAAATCTCAAAGATGATCCGTTGGGTTGTGAAACCATTTCTGAGAATGAACTAAAAGAAGAAAGTCCTGAAAAATGTGAAATCAAAACATCCACACCCATAGTTTTTGCCGAGCTAGATCCTTTGGGTAATGTACCGTTTATAGATAAGAGGGACTTTTTCCAGGACATAAAAAATCCACCAAAAAAAGTATTGAAAGATTTGGTTGGAGGCGAAGAAAACTCAGTTGATGCCAACAGCAGTCTTGAAAATAATCAAATAACTTCTTGTAACAGTTCAGACCTCTTTCCGTCATCTTCAAGAAATGACTCTTTCGAGGAAGTACCAATCATTGAATCTCTTTTACCAGATCAAAAGCCAGATAACCCTTTTGCCATCAGTTCAATACCATCGGGAACTCCTCCAAAGCTTCCCCCGAAAAGAACAATGACCATAATCACTTCCGATTTTCCACCTAGTAAAGAGGATCAAAATTGGGAGTCCAAGAATCCTTTTAACCCATTTGTTGATGATGATTTTCCTGATATTCCACCTCCAAACTCGCCTCCTCCCCCACCCCCTCCACGATTGCCTTCTAAAGCCTGTGAAGCTCCTTCAGTTACATCCCCACCACCTCCGAGGCCACCGAGCCGATCCAATGGCATCCCAACACCTCCTTTGCCGAAAAGGAAAGCACAATTGTCATCTGCAGGTAACACATGGTTCTCGTTTGACCATGAAGCTTTAAGTTTTCCTGTTGTCCATTCAACGTCTAACGTAGATTATGTTCCCCCACTGCCTTCCCCTGCCAGGAAATTCCCTTCTAGCATCTCTGAATCTTCAAACAATAGTAGTGCATCCAGCAGCCCAGCCGCAAACCACAGAGCTCAGTCTGTTACAAACGCTCAGATCGATGAGGGTTATATTGTACTCGCACAAAATAGCCTTCCCGAAACACGCCATTCCTCCATTGAACAAGAAGAAAGCAATGGATCCTCAAAACTTTTCTCAGAAACATGCCACACAGTTGAATCAAAAGAAACCTTAGACTCCCCGCCTCTTCCTCCCAAGCCATTATCTATAGCTCGGCCAAGGCCGTCACCCAGTAAAAAAACATTTGCTTCTATGAATAGCTCTTTAGGTAGCTCAATGGCTGAGAGTTCTTCTAGCTCACTTGCATTTTCAAGTTCAGAAGAGAACAAAAAGGGTTTAAGTGTTGGTAAGAAGACATTTTCTTCCGTGACTAGTTCTTCGTTGTCTGGCTTTACCGCTGAGAGCTCCAATGGAGCACACTCTTCGAGCTCTCTAGCATTTTCGAGTTCAGACGAGAATAAAATGGGCAGCAGTGCTGAAGGCCTTTTCCACAGCAGTAGCAGTTTTGGTGAAAATCACGCAGATGTATTTTTTCAGAATGACTCAGTTAGTAAACAGTCTTCCACATCTGAACTTGCCAAAGAGCTCAGCCCTGACAGCATTTTCCGCCGAAAGAGTGATCCTTTTGCCGACGACTTCTTTCTCTCTCTTTCTAGGAAATCAAATGACATGCAGAAAAATTCTAAGGGTGTTGATTTACATTTTGAAAGTTTAGAGGTAAGTATACAGTTCATTACTTACTAAGTATAGAGTTCTTTACTTTAGAGTTTAAATGAACTTACATGAACGAGAAATTTTTCAAGAATGATTTTAAATATTTTTGTTACATTATTTTTAATATTTTAAATCATTCTTAAAAAATTTCCCATTCATGTAAGTTCATTTGAATTCGCTACTCGCTTTATAGATTTCATTTCATGTTTTATTCTCTTTTTTTCTTTATATTTTATTTTCTGTTTTTACTTGATATTTTTACTTATATTGTGTTCGATTTAATTTGTTGTAATTTTTTTGAGCTGTCCTCGCACTATTGTATTGCTATATTTTGCTTTGGCTATATTGATACAATATTAGAAAGTACTCCTTTTTGCAGATATAATTGTGTGAGCTGATGAAAAGATTATATCTTTTATTTTCCAAATTTTCCTAAAAAAAAATTTCGGAATTTTTTTCCTTCTGGTTTCTTGTTATTTTTATTATTATTTTTCTTTTCCCCCCTTTTTTCATTGTTCTTTAATATTTTCCATGTTTTCTCTACATTTTGAACTTATTTTATGAGTTCTATTTACTTGCAGCTTATGCACAGTAAATGAAACTTATTGTTTTTCTTAATTTTCTTCGTGTTTTTCTTCTTTCTTTTTGTATTTATTTATTATGCTATATATATATATATATATATATACAACAAAATAAATAAATACAAGAAAACACGAAGAAAAACAATAAAGTTTTAATGCAAGTGAAGCTAAAATACCTGATTAATTTCCAAATAATTAATTTAAAAATAATTGAATACTTATGAATTTTGAAAGCAATTAAGTAAGCACATACTTTTTGATTGATTGGAAATTCAAATTTTACCAAAACATCAAAATATTCTCGGATAGAATTGAAATATTTTTCAATTTCAGATGAATATTGTTTAGACTTTCTTAAAAATTTAATGGAAAATTTCAAATCCTCTAAATTTTTTGGAGTTTCTTGAAACCTGGAAACACAATAATAAGAATAAAATGACGAAAAAAAATTAAGAAATCATGTAAGTTATTCTTAGTATTTCAGCTTAAATTTAACAAATAATTAATTATTATCATAAACTAAATTATTTTCTGTTGCACTGATAGCTTAATTTATATATAAATGAAAGAGTGATTTGCCAGATTTATGCATAACAATGTGCAATACAGTGCTTAAAGAAACGATAACTTACCACATAGAAACAGGATAATTNGTTATGAGACCCCTCAAGTTGAAATGACTTCTCTCAATGCTTCTTCCCCATTGAAAATTTCTTTAATTTTCTTATCAATTTGAAAACTGTATTTAACACAACTGGGGTAAAAAAAAGAGATCAGAAGTATAATCTTTGAGATGTTTATATAAATGAAACATTTATTCAGACACTTGATAGCTGATCAATTGTGAATAATCATCTCCATAGGTCCTCATGACTTACAGGTATGCATTACTTTATTTCTGTGAATCATGGGAGGTTTATTTTCCAAGAAGGTATTAACCATGTTCCCTATCAGCAAATGATAAGTAGGTGTAAGGGGATGTGAACCTAATAATTGAAACGTACTGAGGAGAGTACGCTCCTATTTGGTATCATATGTCTAATTTGAGTATCTATGCTAATAGAAAAATTATATTTATTTATCTGTAGCTACATCCAGAATTATGTATTATATCAAACTTCTTTATATATTCTTTTTTATCTTTCTTATTGTTTAAATAAATATTCTTGTAGATATTTACAGTATCCTTGTAGATATTATTTAATTATTTCTACATCTTTGAGAATATTCTAAAAAAAATTTACGGTGTTAAATTTCGTTATTAGAGTACCCTTCCCGTAAACGGACAAATTTTTTGGTCACATGAATGTCCGCTTAATGGAGGTTTCACTGTGTATATATATATATATTCTAATTTATCATTTGGGGTAGTGACTATTTTAGTAACTGTAATTCATTCTGGATTATAGGGATAAGACAAATGTTTAAATCGAAATATTAGACAGTGAAAATCACCATGAGATTCGCCTGTAGTTCTCAATCATGTATTTCTGTGAAGTACAGATAAATCTCAGTGTGACTATCACATACTCTTGAGTGGTACTGTCATTCATCCATGAATGTAATTTTCTTGTTTGTTTTATCTTTTCAGGCATCTTCGTAGGAGAATCTTCAAAGATCCAACTTAGCAGAATTTTTTTTAAGTGTAAATATATATATTATTATTACTATATAGAGAATTTCATGAAATGCTAAAGGTGTAAAAGTACGCTTTAATGAGTTATCTTATATTAAGAAATGTATTGAACATTTTATCTAGTTCCTGGTGAGAATATTATAGCCTTGGAAAAAATTCTCACTCAGTTGTATATTATCTCTGCAATATTTGATATTTTCATTACATTTTAAGGAAAAAAGCTGGTCTTCCCCTTTTGTTAGATTTAACAATTCATTGTTAAAATCTTAGATCTGAACCCTTTTCTTTATTATTTTTTTAAAAAAATTGTTAGACAGGGCCGTCTTAGTAGTATGCAGGGCCCCCGGGCACAGAAATGTTTTGTTTTCTTGTAGCATGTCATACTGCTTAAAATCGAACTAAAAAACTTCACATACATAAAATAAAGCACTTTTAACATATGCAATAATTTGAACAAATTTAAATACATTTTGATTTCCACAAAAAGCTGAATCCACAAAAAAAACTTCATTGGAACGTAGAAAAATAGTTTTCTGTTGTCTTTTTTAGTTTTTCTGGTGATAAACTATTCAAATTATTGTTGCTTGCATAATAATCAATCACTATTTGTAGCAAGAAAAACAAAATACACACTTTATACAATAGAATATATTTATTTTTAAAAATATATAAGACAATGTTATTTATTCTTTAAATACAATTTATAAAGAGTAAGATTCTCAAGGGCCCCCTGAATGCCTGGGGCCCTCGAGCACTGCCCGGGTGTGCCCATGCACAAAGACTGTACTGTTGTTAGATATTTTTAGATAATAATGTATACAGATTTAATTGTCTTAAATTGATATATTGGTGGAATTAAAATTCTAGTTGTACATTTATGTATCTATTTTTTAGAACTGTTTGTTTATAAAATAATTTTAATTTCTTGTAGAACGTTTATTGTTTGCATTTACTTTACTTTTTTACATTTAAAGCCAAGATCTGTTTCTGCTTAGATAGTTGACTATAGATCTGAATAAACAGAATTATTTTTTTTTAAAGAGTTTTCTGTCTTTGAACTTTGAACTTTTTTTGTCTTTGGTTCCAGTGTTATCTGGAACCAAGATAACACTGGAATAAACGATAATAGCTAAGTATAAAAACGTACTGCTATTTAAAATTTAAACTCGTGATTTTCAGTTTAAAGAAAGTTATCAACATTTGTTTTCCATAAGTGTATTTATTGTTCAAGAAAATATAAGTTGACCCTCTAGTTTTTTTGAAGTGTTCTCTGCAATTAAATTTAAAAAAAAACGTTATTTTCAACATAATTTTGAAAATTTTTCTTTTAATGGTTTTAATTTCTAAAGAAGTAAAACATATTGTTTAACATTGTGTTCTTAAGTATACTATTTTATCTTTGAACTTATTCAAGGAAAATTTTCCATTAACCTAAAATGAATTTGTATTAGGTAGAAATGTAATAAATGATTTTTAAATTACTAAATCTTTTCAATTACTAAATCTTTTCAATTAATATTAGTTTTTACCAAATTCTAATTTAATAAAATGTGTCTTTACATTAATATTTAGGTTTTTATTTAAAATTCGAGGAATGTGATTATGACTTTGCAAAAATTTGTATGTGTCATAGTTCTGTTTTTAAATTTGAAACTGCTTTTATCTATTTATTTTAGTTGATAAGTTTTCTATGACATTTTTAATTATATGTGTAAGTTCTTTGCGAATTGATGGCAGAATAAATCTTGGGAATGTTTTATCAGTATAATTTGTGTAATTTTTTTTAATAAAAATTCAGTTTATTGTGATAATTTTGATAGAACTTCTAAATATTAATAATGCATTAACTAATAAAAAGTTTAATGAAAATTAAACTATTAATCAGATTTATCTTCCATTTTTATATATTTATAATCAAAACAGTATTCACTAATCATTATGGATTTTATTACATTATCAAATTTATGTCTTGTATGTTTGTTCAATTGTATAATTTATATGTAAGCTATGTTTTATTCGAACAAATTATAAATTAAGTGCCATTTCTCATGAAAAGCTAACATAGTCTTTTATTTCTATTGTTATATTTTAGTGCCATTTTTATCCCCGTCTGAAAATTAATGAATGAGCAAAACTGCAATTTTAATTACAATGTGTTCCTATACCGATTGATGTAGTTGATTTAAAAAAATTTCTTAAAGAGAGTTGTCTTTTTACTGAATAGTATTACAGTTGAATCCCGTTTTAACAAATTCCTAGGGACCGGAGCAATCGCTATGCAATAACGAAAACTCGTTATACCGCTATTACGACTTTCGACATTAAGCAAAATTATTTCGTTACATTGGAATTTTTCCCATAAGAAAATAATAAATATTGCATATAATAACAGTTTTGTTTTATTTGTTCTCTGCGTGTGGAAAATATCTAATTAATATTTTAAAAGCTCATAAAAGCAATTAAATTAAAAGGAACAATGGATTTTTATCACTTACCTATCGGAAATTACGTTATTCGTAATTTTTTTCTGTACAAATGATTTAGAACCAGTAGACTTCTCCTAATTATGCACATTTTCAAATAACTGAAGTGGAATTCGCTCTTTTGGAAAGCCACATGTATTCTTACTTCTTCAAACATGAATGGGTTGGGGTTTAGTCTTTCCAGGGTGGTCCATTCCGAGTGGTTGGTCTTTTTCGACATGTCCCTTTCATATCTGAAACTTTAAAGTTTGAAGATGTTAAAATATTTGAATTCTGAGATCATTGTGTACTTTTGAAGAATGGAAAAATGTTTTGATCATGAGAGAAAATGAGAATTGTTGCTTATTTTTACCTTCGTTAAATCGAATTTCGTAATATCGGTATTTTTAATTCATTTTGTCTATGGAGATTCATTTGGGGAGTTGGAGAATATTTGTTACATTGAAATTTTCGCTATTTCTGATTTCGCTAAAACGGGATTTGACTGTATTGCATTTAGATGTAAATATCACAGTTGTATAATTCTGTTAAATAGGAAAATGCTTGGAAAAAAAATTGTTTAAAGATATGTTATTGTGAAATATAATGCAAAAGTGATAACCTGGCATTATGATGCTACTTATTATATCGAATTGATTGTTGTTAATTTTAAAGACAAAAAAAAAAGTTTCTATTTATTGTTTTTGTTGTCTTTAAAATATTTACTTAGTTTTAAATCTGCATATTTTTCGTGCCTTATATTTAGCCGTTTTTTTTAGCTACATATTTTAATTGAATGTTAGTATATTTAATGCATTTATATATTAAATAATTTTAATACTTACTTTTTTTAGATCTGTCTTTTTTTTTCTTACTTATAGATGTAATCAATGACTTTTAAAATTTACAATTTTGTTGCCTGAAGCGAACAATTATTGTTTGTTTACTTGTGTAATGGTAATTTATAAGATTTCTTCGTGTTTGCTAAAAGTTCTCTTGTTATGCTTCAAGATGTTTTATGTTATTATTTCTAGAAAAAATTATTTTTAAAGTTTAGAATTACAATGAGAATGAATTTTTTTTTAATAAAGATATGATCATAATGACAATAAGAATCCTGATCTTTTACTTCAATTTTGTAGACTTTTTTAATCTGTCAGAGACTGAATAAAACAACAAAAAAAACCCAGTTCCCTGATGTTTATTAGCTCTTGCAGAGTGGACACCCGGGTTGAAAAAAACAAAAAAAACAAAACAGGTTTGCCTACTTAAAAAAAACTATTTTCTCTTGGATTAAACCGTTTTTTTTTTGTTGGTTTAAACCATTTTTTGTTTGGTTTGAACCGTTTTTTGTTGTTGTTTAAGCCGTGTTTTTTGGTTTAAACCAGATATTTCGTTTTTTTTAAAAACAAGGTTGCCACTCCACAGGGAGAATAGCGAAAACCTGGAAAATACACAAAATTTAAAAATCATCTAATACAACAGGGAATTTTGAGATTTTCTTTAGAAACTGGGAAATATAAAGAATTTTGTTTCTTATTTTTGTGTTTTAAGAAATGGTAATCTATGGGATATTTAAGGATGATATTTGAGCTATATTAAACTATTTCATTTACTATAGCATACCTGCCAAGCATCCTGTTTTTTTAACGAAGATTCCTGTATTTTACGACTCTCCCATATATTCTTAAATATTATATATAAATATTATCAAATATATATATATATATATATATATCAGAGCTCGAAGAAAGTCAGAAATTTTACCCGTCCCTGAGGACGGCTTGTCCAACAATGTGCCCGTCCTCCTTTGAAACTAACCCGTAGCTTCTAAATAAATAAAAATATNTCCATCTCAAATATATATATATATATTATATATATATCAAAATTACCCATGTATTCTCAAATTTCTCTATGTTTGTTGAAGAAATTTTAAAAAAAAATTTTGCCAGTAAAATATTCCCTGATGCAAAAATGCTTCTTTTATTCCTCTAGAGATGGTGCTGTAGCCAGTTCTTCAGTATGTTGAGTGTTTAAAGTTTAAGCTAAATGTAAGTGTTAATATTATTTCCAATTTTCAATTTCTCTTTTTAACTTATATGATTATACATGATATATCAAAACTCTACTCGTAACCTAAAAAATGTTGCTAGAAAAATATAGTAAAATCTCCATTATTTTATTTTTCCAATGTTGGCAGGTATGCTATAGTATTATTTGTTTTAAGTATGTTCAACTGTTCCATTTTCCTCTAAGTTTTTCCAGCAATTGTAACTAGTATAGCTAGACTAATATAGGTTATTCAAGGGCACGGTGATTGTATTTTTCCTCTTAATATCTTGTGTATAATATGTACAGGGAAAACACAAGAAGTTTTTTTCCAGATTTGAGTGACAACCCTGTTAAAACAATACATTGAATAATATTTTAAGGCCTTAATTTAAATTAACCAAACCATTCCAAAGTATTTCATAATATTTGACTGTTCCATTCAGCTATTAATTAATATTTTCAATAAACAATTGAAAATTATCCACTTTTGCTCCTCAAAATATTAACAAAATGATAAAAAAAAGAACAGAATACTTTAAATATGCTTTTGCATTACTTTACAACTCTTCTCTTAATATGCAAATAAACACTCAACATTTAAATTTTATTTTAGTGACATATGTTAGAGAATGTTTTCCCCTCTTGCTTGTATGTAATATAAATATGCTATACTTCATTATAATTTAATTAATATTATTTAGCTGTATACAATTTATAATAGCAATAAATTAAGTTTTATGAAATGTATATTTTTTGTACCATTAAATCAATACAAATTTTAATATATTTTAAGCAGTATATTGTATATATTTTATTTCAAAAATAATTAAAAAGTGCTTAAATAGAATGATTAAAAGGTGCTAAAACGACGCTGGTTGCATATTACATAGTAAAATTAAGATTTAGTACTAATATCTTAAAAATAAATAAAGTATACTTTGCTTCTTTTTTTCATTATTTCAACATATCAGAGTTTGTAATTGTCGTAAAATTTCTGTTTTCCTGATAAAAAATATTTTTTGGTTATCATTATTTTTAGCTTTTTGTTCTGATTTGTGTGTATACAGAACATCTCTTTTGATACGAATACTAATGCAGTTGCTAAAATTATCAGTTTGAATAATCGGAAGATAAGGATTTTCAATTTAATATCTTTTATTTTAATTAATAATTCATACAAAAAAAATTACTTATGAATATAAATGTTAAGATGCATATTCACTCTGTTTTTGTTTCGAAATTATTCGAAACACCAATGTAAAATATTTTATTAAAGAAGTCGTGGACAAATTTTAAATTAATATTGGTATGAACGAATATTGAATGATATTAATACCGATTATTTTTTTAATGCAATGGCACCATTAAAATTTTCTAATTATTGATCTCAAGCTGTTACAAGTCACACAGTGCTCCATTAATAGAATTCTAGTGGAAAAAATATATTAAAACATTTTTTTTAGAATAAAGTAACTCTGGAATGAAAAAAAATAATATTTTGTTATTTTTTTGTGATTTCGTTT